GGGGTCAGTAGGGGGCCCATGAAATGCCCCTGGTACCTTTTATAGGCTTTTTTGGGTGTGCTTTGAGTGTGGGCCAGGACACAGGGGCCCCATGAGTTGTCAGTCTACCCCTGCCCCCAGCAACAATAGATCCCTCAGCAAGAATAGACCCCCCAGCAACAAGATAGATCCCCAACAACAATATACCCCAGCAAGAATAGATCCCCAACAACAAATACCCCAGTAACAATAGATCCCTAGCAACAATAGATCCCCCAGCAACAATAGATCCCCAACAACAATATACTCCAGTAACAATAGATCCCTAGCAACAATAGATCCCCCAGCAACAATAGATCCCCCAACCACAATATACCCCAGTAACAATAGATACCCAGCAACAATGGATCCCAAACAACAATATACCCCAGCAACAATAGATCCCCAACAACAATATACCCCCAGCAGCAATAGATACCCCAGCAAAAATAGATCCTCAAAAACAATATACTCCCAGCAACAATAGATCCCCCTGTAACAAAGATCCCCAACAACAATATACCCCCCCAGCAACAATAGACTCCCAAGTAACAATAGCCCCTCCGCAAACAACAGACCCCCCCACAAGAAGAGACCCCTAGCAACAAATAGGTCCCCCCAGTTACAATAGGCCCCCCCGCAACAACAGTCCTCCCACAACAATATACCGGTAGCAACAAATAGGTACCCCCCAGTAACAATAGGCCCCCCTGCAATAACATGCCCCACAACAATATACCCCTAGCAACAAATAAGTCCCCCTCCCACAAAAATAGACCCCTGCAACAACAATGATACCCTTGCAAGAAAATACCAGCTCAGCAACAATTGCTCCATCCCAGCAATAATAGACCCCCAGCAGCAACAACAGACCTTCCACAACAATATACCCCTAGCAACAAATAGGTCCCCCCTAGTAACAATAGCCCCCCCACACAATAACAGACCCCCCCACAACAATATACCCCTAGCATCATATAAGAACCCCCCCACAAAAATAGACCCCTGCAGCAACCATGATACCCCTGCAAGAAAATACCAGCTCAGCAACAATAGCTCCATCCCAGCAATAATAGACCCCCAGCAGCAACAGTAGACCTCCCACAACAATATACCCCTAGCAACAAATAGGTCCCCCCAGTAACAATAGGCCCCCACAATACCAGACCCCCCACAACAATATACCCCTGGCATCAAATAAGTCCCCCTCCCACAAAAATAGACCCCTGCAACAACAATGATACCCTTGCAAGAAAATACCAGCTCAGCAACAATTGCTCCATCCCAGCAATAATAGACCCCCAGCAGCAACAACAGACCTTCCACAACAATATACCCCTAGCAACAAATAGGTCCCCCCTAGTAACAATAGCCCCCCCACACAATAACAGACCTTCCACAACAATATACCCCTAGCAACAAATAGGTCCCCCCAGTAACAATAGGCCCCCACAATACCAGACCCCCCCCACAACAATATACCCCTGGCATCAAATAAGCCCCCCCCACAAAAATATACCCCTGCAGCAACAATGATACCCCTGCAAGAAAATATCAGCTCAGCAACAATAGCTCCATCCCAGCAATAATAGACCCCCAGCAGCAACAACAGATCTCCAAGCAGTCAGCATCAGTAGACCTCTCCCTCAACATTAGATCCGTCCCAGCAACAACATACCCCCTAGCAACATAAGATCCCCCCCAGCAACAATAGACCTGCCAGCAGCCAGCATCAATAGTTACATAGTTAGTCTGGCTGAAAAAAGACAAGAGTCCATCCAGTTCAACCAAAAAAAAAAATGGACCCTTCAGAACACCCGACCACTCCTTGCCGTTACATATATTCAGTGCCGGGGGTGCCGGAACTGCGTTCCCCCCTGTGTTCCCCCTGCGTCCCCCCTGCGTTCCCCCATGTGTTCCCCCCTGCGTTCCTGCTTAAAGTCCCATTAGATTGTAGTCTTTTGAGGGCAGAACCCTTCTCTCCTTTTGCAACTCCAGATCAGGGGCGGACTGACAACTCATGGGGCCCCCGGGCAATAGGGGATCATGGGGCCCCTGTGTCCTTGCCCAAACTCAAAAAAGCCTATGAAAAAGGTACCAGGGGCATCTCTTGAATCCCCCACTCCAGCTGTCCTCTTCCCCCCCAAAGCTCTGGTTTGGTGGTCGCTCCTTTGACGTCATCATGCACAGGGCTCTTAAACCTGCATTGTATGTGGTGGGGGTGTAAGCTTCCTGCACAAGGGTGGAAGACACTGGGCTTGGCTGGCTGTTTTCTGGAGGGGTTAAGATTAGTGCTTGATGGCGGCAGGGGCCGGGGGGGGGGGGTTGTTGGAGTGTGGCAGCACTGAGGCCCAGGGTTGAAGAGGGTGGTTGGAAGAAAGTGACAGTGGCGGGGCCCAGAGGGGGGAAATGGTTGGCAAAGAGTGGTGGCGGGGCCCTGGGGGTAGTTGGCAGAGACTGGGGGTGACGGGGGCTCAAGGGGGGTATGGTTGGCGAAGATTGGTGGCATGGGCTCGGGGGGGGGTAGTTGGCAGAGATTGACGTGGCTGGTGAAGAGTGGTGGCGGGGCCTAGATGGCAGAGATTGGCAGTGATGGGGCCCGGGGGGGGGTATGGTTGGTGAAGAGTGGTGGCGGGGTCTAGTTGGCAAAGATTGGCAGTGATGGGGCCCGGGGGGGGGGGGGGTATGCTTGGTGAAGACTGGTGGCGGGGCCTAGTTGGCAGACATTGGCGGTGATGGGGCCCAGGGGGGGTATGGTTGGCGAAGAGTTGCGGCGGGGACCGGGGTGGGGGGTAGTTTGGCAGAGATTGACAAGCCTGGGGGGGGGGGGGGGGGGGATGGTTGGCAAAGAGTGGCAGTGGGGGCTGGGGGGGTAGTTGGCAGAAATTGGCACTGATGGGGCCTGTGGGGGGAATACGGTTGACGAAGAGTGGCAGGAGCTGGGGAGGGGGTAGTTTAGCAGAGATTGGTGGTGATGGGGCTCGGGGGGGGGTAGTTGGCAAAGATTGATGGGGCCTGGGGGGGTATGATTGGCAAAGAGTGGCAGGGGCTGGGGGGGGGTTGTTTGCTGATGGTGGGGGGTGCCGAATTTTAGTGTTGCCTAGGGCAGATCCTCAAAGCCATTGAATGGTCCGTAAACGCCTTATGGACAGGACCTTCAAATCTATAAATCAGCTGATTGCAGATAGTGCGACTTTTGCCCCCCGTCTGGGTATTGGCTGTGGCTGTCCTCACAGGTGACACCATGCGCTGTCATTCAGCAGCCGTATCCTGCCAGTTCGGTTCATATTTAGGTATTTATAATGGTTATTCCATGATAATAATAAAATCCAGGACTTTTGTTCAGCAGGAAAGCGGGGGAGCGCAGTTCCGGCACCTCCAGCACTGCCTGTATGTAATGGCAAGGGGTGGTGGGTTGTGCTGGAGGATCTTTTATTGCTGGCTTCTGGGGGATCTATCATCACTGGGGTGGATCTATTATTACAGGGGGGGTTCTAGCTTGCTGGGGGGGAGTCAGTTGTTGCTGAGAGGGATCTACTGTTCAGGGAGGGGGGGTCTATTGTTGCTGTCTGAGGAAGATCTATTATTGCTGGGGTATATCTATTATTACAGAGGGGTCCTGGGTTGCTGGGGGGAGTCAGTTGTTGCTGGGAGGGACCTACTGTTCAGGGAGATTTATATTGTTGCTGTCTGCTGGGCTGGAAGATCTGTTATTGCTGAGGTGTATTTATTATTACAGGGGGGTCCTAGATGGCTTTGGGGAGTCAGTTGCTGCTGAGAAGGATCTACTGTTGAGGGAGGGGTTTACTCTTGCTGTCTGCTGGAAGATCTATTATTGCTGGGGTGGGTCTATTATTGCAGGGGGTCCTAGGTTGCTGAGGGAGTCATTTGTTGCTGAGAGGGATCTACTGTTGAGGGAGGGGTCTATTCTTGCTGACTGCTGGAAGATCTATTATTGCTGGGGTGGGTATAATATTGCAGGGGGTCCTAGGTTGCTGAGGGAGTCATTTGTTGCTGAGAGGGATCTACTGTTGAGGGAGGGGTCTATTCTTGCTGACTGCTGGAAGATCTATTATTGCTGGGGTGGGTATATTATTGCAGGGGGTCCTAGGTTGCTGAGGGAGTCATTTGTTGCTGAGAGGGATCTACTGTTGAGGGAGGGGTCTATTCTTGCTGACACTGCTGGAAGATCTATTATTGCTGGGGTGGATCTATTATTACAGGGGGGGTCCTAGGATGCTTGGGGGGAGTCAATTGTTGCTGAGAGAGATCTACTGTTGAGGAAGGGGCCTATGATTGCTGTCCGCTGTTAGATCCATTTATTGCTGGGGTGGATCTATTATTACAGGGGGGTCCAAGGTTGCGGGGAGGAGTCAGTTGTTGCTCAGAGGTATCTACTGTTGGATGAGGGGTCTATTCTTGCTGTCTGCTGAAAGATCTGTTATTGCTGGAGTGAAACTATTATTACAGGGGGTCCTAGGTTACTGAGGGGTCAGCTGTTGCTGAGAGGGATCTACTGTTGAGGAGAGGAATATTGTTGCTGTCTGCTAGAAGATCTATTATTGCTGGGGTGAACCTATTATTACAGGGGAGTCCTAGGTTGCTGGGGGGAGACAGTTGTTGCTGCGAGGGATGGGGCTATTGTTGCTGATTGCAGGAGGTTCTAATTATTCTAGGTGTCTTTTATTGCTGGGGTGGATCTATTTTTAATGAGGGTATTCTTTTGTGGGGAGTTCTCTTGTTGCTGGGGAAATCCATTGTTACTGGGGTGATCTATTGTTGCTGTGGAAGTCTGTTGTTGCTGGGGGGTCTTCTATTCTTACTGGCTGCAGGGGATCTATTGTATTGCTTTCCTTGTTATCGATAACAAATTCCATACAAATTAGCCCCACAGAATGATACTTGGCTCTATATTCTCTAATAGGGGCGGTACGAGGAGGGTGGGCAGGGGGTGGAACCATGGGATGGTGCTCGGAGGTGGGCAGGGGGGTGGAACCATGGGATGGTGCTCGGAGGTGGGCAGGGGGTGGAACCATGGGATGGTGCTCGGAGGTGAGCAGGGGGTGGAACCAAGGGATGGTGCTCGGAGGTGGGCAGGGGGTGGAACCAAGGAATGGTGCTCGGAGGTGGGTAGGGGGGTGGAACCAAGGGATGGTGCTCGGAGGTGGGTAGGGGGTGGAACCAAGGAATGGTGCTCGGAGGTGGGTAGGGGGTGGAACCAAGGAATGGTGCTCGGAGGTGGGCAGGGGGTGGAACCAAGGAATGGTGCTCGGAGGTGGGTAGGGGGTGGAACCAAGGGATGGTGCTCGGAGGTGGGTAGGGGGTGGAACCAAGGAATGGTGCTCGGAGGTGGGGAAGGGGATGAAACCAAGGGACGGTGCTTGGAGGCGGGTAGGGGAGGAACCAAGGGACGGTGCTCGGAGGCGGGTAGGGGTGGAACCATGGGATGCTGCTTGGAGGTGGGCAGGGGGTGGAATCAAGGGATGGTGCTCAGAGGTGGGCAGGGGGTGGAACCAAGGGATGGTGATTGGAGGTGAGCAGGGGGTGGAACCAAGGGATGGTGCTTGGAGGTGGGCAGGGGGTGGAACCAAGGAATGGTTATTGGAGGTGGGAAGGGGGCGGAACCAAGGGATGGTGCTCGGAGGCGGGTAGGGGCGAAACCAAGGGACAGTGCTTGGAGGCGGGGTAGGGGGTGGAACCAAGGGATGGTGCTCGGAGGTGGGCTAGGGGCGGAACCAAGGGACGGTGCTTGGAGGCAGGTAGGGGCGGAACCAAGGGACGGTGCTCGGAGGCGGGTAGGGGTGGAACTAAGGGATGCTGCTTGGAGGTGGGCAGGGGGTGGAACAAAAGGGATGGTGATTGGAGGTGGGCAGGGGGTGGAACCAAGGGATGGTGATTGGAGGTGGGCAGGGGGTGGAACCAAAGGATGGTGATTGGAGGTGGGAAGGGGGCGGAACCAAGGGATGGTGCTCGGAGGCGGGTAGGGTCGAAACCAAGGGACAGTGCTCGGAGGCGAATAGGGGCGGAACCAAAGGATGGTGCTCGGAGGCGGGTGGGGGACAGAGACAAGTAGTGACTCGGGAGGAGTACCTGCACCTATTCTCTGAGACCTGGTGAGATCTATGGATATCTCATTATATTTACGTATTTGTCTTTGTATCATAGATCCTCGCCGGTATCTCTTCCTGAAGACGCTCGCGATGAAACGCGTTGAAGAAGATACTTGGTAAATGTTTGTCAACAACTACATTGTGTCACGTGACATTTCAAGGAAACGATGAAGTCGAGAGACACAGGTTACGTCATACACCCGATGGGATGCGTCACGAGCGCACATTTCTTCTATAAAAGAACAACAAATGACACGCGCTGGATCATTACAGAAATAAATATCAACAAACAAGTCATACATTTGTATCAATAAAGTATCTTTTGAGCAATGAAAGTGTTTTGTTTGGTTTTCACCTCTGAAGTCCCGCTAGTTACAAGGAGTTATTTCTGGCTTCATCTGGTTGGGGATGTGGTGACGAATTTCCCATCAATCTCTATACACAAATCGATAGAATTTCCCCTCCCCCCCCCCCTCCATGTATGACACATGTGAGCGGCTTCCTGCTGGAGTGCTGACTTGTGGTCTGTTATCTGTCCATTGACGTTTCCAGGAGGAAGTGATCTCATGTCTCCCTATGTGGCCTTGTTTCTGTTCCTGGGCGGGGGGCAGGATGTCCCTGACTCCCGAAAGACGCCTTGACCCGGCTCTGTAGAAGGTCACCATCGCTTCCAGCATCTGGACGGGAAAAGGATGATGGCAACTGCGCACCAGGAAGGAGATCAGCCCACAAGACCAAGTACAGGACCCAACAGCAACCAATCAGAGCTCCTCTTCCATCCTTGTGACTGCCCTGAACTAATCAAAGGTGGAATCTGATTGGTTGCAATGGTGTATGGCAGTGCATGCAATGGCAAGGCTAGTTCCGCTGCATGTTCGTCTTGTATTGACCTGCCAGAGGTGATCATTTTTTCTGTAGGCAGTTTTGGGACACTGCAACATGTTTACTATTGTGGTTTTGGTATCTTCCTCTGTCCTCCCCTCCTGTTTAGTGCTAGTTAGTTTAGTTTTAACTAAACCCAGTCCATTTCTTCCATGTTCCTGTAGTCATTGTTACTTATTCATAGAGACAGGGCTTAGGAAAGTCATCGGGGGGTAGATTTACTGAAACTGGAGCAGCTGTGCATGGGAGCCAATCAGCTTCTAGCCTCAGCTTGTTCAGTTTCGCTTTGACAATAAAACCTGGAAGCTGATTGGTTTATTTGCAGAAGTGCGCCTGATTTTGCATTATTATTATTTGCTCAGCATTAGTAAATATACCACATTGTCTTCAAAAGACTGGAAACATATTTTTTTATTTCGGGTCAGGGGCGGACTGACAACTTATGGGGCCCCTGGGCAATAGGGGATCATGGGGCCCCTGTGTCCTTGCCCAAACTCAAAAAAGCCTATGAAAAAGGTACCAGGGACATCTCATGGGGCCCCCTACTGACCCCGGGCCCTCGGGCAGTGCCCAAGTTTCCAAATGGTCAGTCCGCCCCTGTTTCAGGTACTTATATAGCACCATCAATCTACGCAGCACTTTACATATATATTGTACATTCACATCAGTCCCCGCCCCCGAGGAGCGTACAATCTAAGGTCCCTAACTCACATTCATACATACACATACTAGGGACAATTTAGACAGGAGCCAATTCACCTCTCAACATGTCTTTGGATTGTGGGAGGAAACCGGAGTACACAGAGGAAACCCACGCCAGGCACAATGAGAACATGCAAACTCCAGGCAGGAGGTGCCGTGGTTGGTATTTGAACCAATGACCCGCGTACTGCCAGGTGGAAGTGCTAACCATTTATCCTCTGTGCTGCAATTACCAGAAGTAAAATTGTGTTGAATTCAAGATCTTATTGAAGAGTTAAAGAGTCATTCCGCTTTTGTTGAGAAAAAAAGATTCCCCCCCCCCCCCATTGATCTCTGTACATTGCAGGGATTGGAACATGAATGTGAGTTAGGGACCTTAGATTGTACGCTCCTCGGGGGCGGGGACTGATGTGAATGTACAATATATATGTAAAGCTCTGCGTAAATTGATGGCGCTATATAAGTACCTGGAACAAGGGCGGACTGACCATTTGGAAACTCGGGCACTGCCCGAGGGCCTGGGGTCAGTAGGGGGCCCCATGAGATGCCCCTGGTACCTTTTTCATAGGCTTTTTTGAGTTTGGGCAAGGACACATGGGCCCCATGATCCCCTATTGCCCGGGGGCCCCATGAGTTGTCAGTCCGCCCCTGACCCGAAATAAAAAAATATGCGTAAATTGACGGAGCTATATAAGTACCTGAAATAAATAAATATCTGTTTGTCTCTCTGTGTCCATGTGCAGAGTGAATGTGAGCAACTTTATCATTACCAATCAGCTGCCGCACCCGTGGGGCTCTCATGAGGAAAGCGGCGGGGTCTGCATCCCTTCAGATGTGATTTCCCTTTGGGAGTATCTCACCAAAAAATGACATTGTTGTTGCAGGGGATGCCAAAATCTGACTTGTATCTTAGTGTCAGACTTCTGGGAAAATCAATGAGCCAATCACACAAGCTGGAAATGACATTTCTAGGGGCGGTCCCTATACCATCCTCTCTGTACAAAATTCCTCCAGGCGGCCATATTGCATTTTTACAGAAAATAACAGCTGCAGATTGAACAGAAAAGGTCATTTTTAATAAAATTCAATTCCAGTGTGACTTGTGTAGCAATTATACAGAATATGTTACATTGTTACTTTTCTTTGCTATTGTTTCCCCCAAGAAAATGGAGTTACCCTTTAAGCGGCCTGCGGAGGTCAGCAGGTGACCGTACTGACTGGACAGACTGGATCTAAGGAGGTATTCAACCCCTTGGCGCCTGCGCCTCCCTGTCCTTTAAGGGTTCCAGAAGTCGGGAGGTGGGGCGGGGTTTTAGGGTCATGTGACCGCCGTGATTCGCTGTCACGGCGGTCACATGATCGGGAAAGGTCCCGATCGAAAGAAGAGTACCGAACATGTGTGCTGGGAGCGGGCAGGGCGCGCGCTCTCAGCACGTTTTTTTTTAATAGAAAGCAGATGTGCGGCTGCTTGGTGTCTTGGCCCAGACGCCGGGAGGCGGCACATTTGCGTTCGTCCGGCGCCAAGAGTTTAAAGTAAAACCTGTTTTTTCTTTTATTTCGGATGGAGTAAGGGAGGGATATAACCCGCTCAGATTTTTCTTCACCATCTGTGTCCCCATTGGGGGAGATTTTCCCTTCACTTCCTGTCCCATAGCCAAAACAGAAAGTGGGAGGAAATCCCTGCATCCCTGAGTTCTTTGGGGACCCCCAGGTTACCAGAACTAGGGCCCCCATTTGAAAGATTTCCCCTTTTCTGGGGACAACCCAATATTTGAGATTTTCTTTTACTTTCACTGTCGGTGATAATGGTAACAGGGCACACAGAGAGGGGGAATCTCCCTAACGGGGGGCACAGACAGGAATAAATCCTGACAGGGGGTTTCATTCATCCACCCCATCCAAATCTCAAAAAAAAAAAAAAAGTGCATCCACGGCACCATGGGTTATTGGTTGGCGCATCTGTCTTGCAGCACTGGGGTCTTGGTTCACATTCCAGTCATTTTGGATAGCGTAAGGAAGGGTGATACCCCCTTTCAGATTTTTTTGTCATCTGTGTCCCCATTGGGGAGATTTCCTTCCACACTTCCTGTCTCATAGCCCAACAGGAAGTGAGAGGAAATCCCTCCAAAGGGAGGGAATCCCAGAACTAGCGTCCCATCTATTACTATATTATGGGGTACACCCAAATTTGGGGGTTTTGTTTCCTTCTCAGTGATAACGCCAATCAGGACCGATAGAGAGGGAGAAACTTCCTACACAGACAGTGATAAAAACCCGACGGCTCTTCTAGCCCCTCACCGCTCCACCCAAAACTAAAAGAGAAAAAACGTCTTTGCCTTTAGTTATACTTTAAGCGCCGGTTCACACTATAGAAACGCAGCCCAGATGCATTCTGGAAGCGTTTTTTTTTTGCATGTGCGTTTTTTATGCAGGGATCTGAGATTCCCTTGATAAAGTCACGTGATCTAGTGATGAAACGCATGTCGGGGAGAGCATGGGCGGATGATGTCACGACTTGTTCCCAGTGATCGAAACAGCGGTATACTGATCCACACACGGCTCCAGGATCATTAAAGTAAGGCAATTGCATTGTACAGACGGGGCCCCCGTGCTTTGCCTTTCATTACACAGTGTGTGGGACAATTTGGAGCCTGTATTGGGTTGGCTGGTCTACGTTACTGGGGAACGATACTGCCATCTTGTACCGTAACCCCTTCCAGTCCGGAGACTTTCACCCCTTCCAGTCCGAAAACTTTCACCCCTTCCAGTCCGGAACACTTTCACCCCTTTCCAGTCTCCGAAAACCTTAACCCCTTCCAGTCCGGACACTTTCACCCCTTCCAGTCCAGGCGCTTTCCAACCCTTCCCCCCTTCCAGGTCCGGACACTTTCACCCCCTTCCAGAACTCCCCCTTCCAGACACTTTCACCCCTTCCAGTCCGGACACTTTCACGGCCCCTTCCAGTCCGGACAACTTTCACCCCCTTAACCAGTCCGGACACTTCCCCTCCCCCATTCCAGTCCGGACACTTCTCCCCCCCTTCCAGTCCGGACACTTTCCCCCCCTTCAATATCCAGTCCGGACACGTTCCCCCGCCTTCCAGTCCGGACCACTTTCCCCCCCTTCTACAGTCCGGACACTTTCCCACCTTCCAGTCTGGTCACTTCCCAGCTTCCTGGAACACTTTCCCCCCCTTCCAGTCCGGACACTTTCCCCCCCCTTTCCATTCCTGGACACT